AATCTGGTTCGAAGTCAACTTTACTTGATTCTTGAAATGTTGCAATACAAGAACAAATGAACCTGGACATATTCAACAAAGAATTGGTCAGTTTGTACAACATAGCAAAATCTCCTTTGCAAATCAATCAACCCATCTAAATTTAACTTTCCAAAAGCAATCAAAAGCTGACTTTCACCAAATCAATTATCTTAAAACAGTTTCCATAAAAATAGAAACTGCCCATAAATAATTCCTTGCTGCAAATCAAAGTATTCTCTTACTGCATATCAATCCAATAAAATCCAAGTTTCCAAAACAAGCACAATTTAACTTATCAAAATAAGAAACCAAATAAAAACAAACACCATCAAATTCGAATCTTTCCAAACAAGGTTTCCTACCGCAAATCAATCTCCAATCAAATAAATTACGCAAATCAATCTCCAAATCAAACCCAAAATTAAAACCTTCAATTTGCGAAATAATGCCAATAAAAATCTCTAACAGTTTTTTTTTTTTTTTTTTAACTTTTGGTCAATATAAAATTAACTTCCTTATACAGTGGCGGATCAGCTGGGGGGTCCCACCTGCACAACACGAGTGGGTAACCGAGGGATTCAATCATGAAGGCTCATTCAAGCTTGATTCAGAAATCTGTTGGACCACTGTGCCATTGTAATCCTCTGATGAAGATAAAGATACATAGTGGAGGGAAAGAAAGAAAGACAAAAGGATATAGTCAGATATATAGACATACTTATTATATATATATATATATATATATATATATATATATAGCACTTGTTTATCATCTACCTAGGTGTATCCACTATATATTCAGATAAGAGAAGACTGCCTTGACTTAAAGAGCTAGAAATTACGAGTGGTATATATACATGCACCGTCCATAAAAACAAACGTAGTTTTTTTTCATAGTATTTACCATCTCCAATATCAATTGTTTCCAAGTAATTTTCTTACATTAATACTTTTTTTTTCCTTTTTTTGGGATATTTAACAATGTCTCTTCAAAGAAAATTATTACTAGGGTTCTCAACACTTTTTTTTAGCATAAGTATATGGCACGTGAATAAATATCGTAAATATATTAATAAAGAAAAAGAAGCAAGTTGAAAAAATCAAAAAGATGAAGAAAACAATGAGCAAGTCCTTGGTCTATATATATATATATATATATATATATATATGGTACTAGTTGAAGTGTCATAATCCAAGTATATATAGGCTTGAATGGCAAAAGCTATATATAACTCTCTTTGCCTTTATTAAGTCGGTTAGGAAAAAAATTTCCATTCTTGGCTATATATGACTCTCAGTATGCTCGTGTGTGTGTATATATATATATGAATTATTTTTGGTCTTTACACTGAAAGCATATAGTTCATAAAGGTTGAAAGAATTGATGCTTTTCTTTCACTTTTACTCACAAATCATGGGCATTAATATTGACCTAAGTCCTAGCTAGCTAGTGTAGACTCTAATTGAAATTTATTGCCGTTTGAGGGAGTCAATTTTATACGCATTCATGATAACCTACACACACATTAAAGTTGTACCAGCTTCCGCTTACATGACTTTATATAAATAAACCTATCTTATTCACCAATAAGGCTATTTAGAGCTCAAAAGAGAATTTATGAAATAAGAAAATTCGGGCCACAACATGGAATTTTGTTTCTTCATATATATGCCAAAAGCAAGAGAGGTTTGCATAGATACAAATATACATACGTACGTACGTATTTATGTATGTATGTATGTATAGGTGTGTGTTGTGAGGACATGAATGAGAGGGACAAGAGAAGAGGGTTGCATACATATAAAGACATGTAATGTTATATATATATATATATATATATATATATATATATACATATATACATTGCACTCCTTGAACTTTGCGTACTTAGAAACTGTTTCATGAATTACACAATGACGCCAAGTTGGAGTATATATAGAGCAGAACATAACATGTGCATCAAGTAATTGCGAGAGAAGTCGTCCCTAGCTATTTATTGTCGGGGAACACTTGGTTGTGAAAAACGTTGTTTTGTCAATCTCAAACATGAGACAAACACTGATGGTAGAGCATTTCGCCTAGTGCTAGTACACTTTCTTTTGGGGCCCAAACGCACAAGATGACAAGCAATTGCATATGAGTTAGGGAGATAAATACCCCTTAAATTGCATATATTTTTGCCTTACTCTTAATTAATTTCCTTTTAATTAAATACTATATTAGTCAAAAACGTATAATCAAGTAAAAATCTAGAGTGTAAGTTAAGTAATTTTCTCACTTCTCAACCATTGGCTTGAAGTTTGACATTGTATACAAACCCTTTGAACCATGATTCTTACGATGCTGGCTTTGGAATTTTATATGGGCCGATAACTCATCACAACGTGTGCTGTTCGGCTCCCTCCAAAGCCCACGTATAATATAGCTGTGTTAGAAAGGACATAGGTAAGGAAAATTAAGGGATAATCTTGACAAATACCTCTTGAAAGTGCATGGTTCAGGATTTTTACTTTTTATTCTTGATTCATAACCTTTTTAGTCAAATAATTTTACTAATAAAAGGGTATTTATCAGGGTAAAAGTCCAGACTTATACACTCTTAAGGGTAAATTCTCCTTTTCTTTTTTTTTTTTTTTTTTTTGAGAGGACCTATTTGATAAAGATTGGGGTGTCCTTATAAATCGAGGGTTTTTGTTGGTTCGGTCACCGAATTATAATCGTCGGTTTTTGAGAATTTGGAACCAAAACTGAGCCATTAGAAGTAGGCATCGGTCAGTTTACCGGTTGTAGGATATCGGTTTACTGCAGTCGGTTTTGGGGGGCTTGAGTTCTGGTAGCGGTGCTTAGCAGTTTGCCACCAATTTTCTAGCAGTTTGTGTTGCCTTTTGGCCCAAAACACCCTAAAAAAATGTAAAATTTCTCTCTATTGGAATAGACTTAAAATACACCAATTATTTAAGTAATAATACAACTTGTCAATTATTAAAACTGTTAAACTAAATCAAAATAAAGTTCTTTCCTACTCCAAACTTGAGGCAATTACAAACCAAAAGCTTTACTAGTCCATAACCCATCCAAACATAGTCAAATAAATTACAAACCAAAAGCTTTACTCGTCCATAACCCATCCAAACATAGTCACATACCAAAGTCAGGAAATAATTGAAAGTCCAAACTCCAAAGCACAACCACAAAATCACAAAGCATACTACAGTTCAAAGTCCACAACACAAATGTAAAAACATCTAAATTGGCATAAAAAAAATCCATCCATCGACAATGGCATAACAAAAGTTCAACTTCAATTAGTCAAGTTCTTAAATCTTAGTCTTTTACTCTTAGGGCCTATTTGGTGTGTGAGTTTGAACCAATGTTCAAACCAATAGTTTTGATTATAACTTTTGAAATTCAATTTTTTTATGAGAGAAAAATATTGTAGCTGAATTATAACTATGGGTTTGAATCTATGAAGAACCCATATTATACCAAACATACCCTTAGTTTTCATCTTCCTCTTCATTCTCATCCAAATCCATTATATTGTTATCTTTTCCAAAGCTATACTAAAAAAATCAAATTGATATTATGTAAATGAAATTGAAAAAATAATTAATATAATGAAATAAATTAATAAGTACACTAAACTCTTTCAAGTATCTTACTTTGGTCTTTAGATGAACCTGCAACATTTGGTTGAGGAGTAACACTTGTGCTTTCGTTAGTAAAGGTTGTTGGAGAAGAAACAATAACACCATCGCTTACAAGCAAATTAGAAACTAATTTACAAATTACAATAATTGAATAGAAAAAGAGATATATAATTATAACTATAACCAGTGACAACATGTACAATCCAAAATTCAACCTCATTCATGTATTACAATCTAAGAATCACCGGTTCATATTTTTCATCCTCATCATTCAGCTAATTTTTCAAACAAATAGGTGCTTCCATCATCCTAAAAAGATCAAGAATACAACCACCAACTAGTAGAAAAAGCAGGTTCATATGCAAGCACATCTTAGCAATCTGGGACAAGCTCTCACCTAGGTTTATTGACTTTCCACCAACCTAAGATGTCAAATTCATCAACCAACTCTTCACATTGCTCAGAAATATATTTATCCACATCATGTTTTTTGCACATTTGCACCATCTCTGCCCATCTTCTTTATCCTAAACCCGGCCTCTATCTCATCATCAATAGCAAAAATTGAGTTGGGTTTCGTAAAGCTCGTTATTGTCGAACGACTTGAATCAGAACCAATTGAAGAGTATGATGTGGAGAGGAGACGGCGGCTAGGCAAAGATGGCGGCTAGGCGGCTGATGGTAGAGAGTTGAAATTTTATCAAATTGGGGCTATTGAGAAATGATAGACTTTGAGAAAACTGAAAAGAAGTGAGGGTTGAGAGAGACTTTTGCGTTTTTGCCAAAGCCCTACAAAAAACGCCTTATTATTAAAATATTAATATGTGCATAGTGCCAGTTCAGTTCGGTATCAAACCGAACACTTACAACTAAAATCAAAACCGAAGCAACAACAAGGTAGTTCGATCGGTTTGCAAACCGATTTTGATTGGTTCCATGTGGCACTAAGTTTTTCAGTCTTTTAGCGGTCGGTTAATCGGTTTTGAGCGGTCGATTTAAGTTTTTCAGTTTTTTTGAGCAACCCTAAATATTCCCACCTCTTATCCTACTATATTGCAAGAGATTAAAAATTGAGATTCTTGAAATTTTGCTATCTCTTGCCCCATTCATTCCTTCTTATTTGCTTTCTCCTCCTTATCATGAGTTCCAATATTCTTCCCCTCGTTCTTCAGTTTCCTTTTCCCTCCTAGAAATTGTTAAAAGAAAAAAAAATGGCCTATATTTTTTGAGTGAATAAATGGTTGTTTTCCCAATTTATGAGGTGCAGGCGTAGCATCCAATTTTATAAGGAACTTGTAGGTACACACACAGAGAGAGGGGCAAAGCAATTCCATCGATATTCTTTCATTCATTCATATTTCATAAAAATAAAAACCCACTCGAACTTCAGCTTACAGTTTTCCAAGAAAATTTTACATCAGCCAATGAGCGAACCCCAGGCTCATGAAACAGAAGCAGTTTGCCAATAAACACCATATCCTTTTTGAGCAACTTCCCATGTCAGCTCTTAACAATAAAAAGGGAATACGCCCAACCCATATCTTCTCTTTTCACTGCCTTCACTCTTTTTTATCATTCACGTTGCCATGAACATCACATAATGTGGAATAATTTTCAGCAACATAATAAGATTTACAAATCATTATTTCTCACTCTCACTCATCACTCTACCATTGCTTTACTTCTCTACTATGTCATGATCTTTTACTTATCTGACTGGAAAGAATTTCCTTGTGGTTCAACATATGGCCTAACAAAGGTCCTTCTCCACCAAACCTCGAAAGCTCTCTGAAGATTTGGGCAGTTATCACCAGCCTTCAGAAAACTGCCCAACCAAGAGAGTAAAATACTCTGCTGGTCCTCTAGAGGCAGGGTGAGGATTGTCCTACCGATTCCTTCTTCGACAACCTTCCGGTCAAATGACCTGCAGCCATGTTGTAACCAACTGTAGTCGTTGATCAATGGCTGTAGCCAGGTTTGTAACAGCAGCTGACGAGTGTCCTTTGATGGCAGAAGTTCCCCTCTTCCAATGCCAACGAATAGTCTTGCTGTAATGCAGCTGATATGATAACGAGACACAATAGACAGCTTTCCATGTAAGGCTGCCAATTCTTGCTGGCTTGCCCATGTTAAGGCAAATTCATCTGCTGCTTGCCTGTCAGCTAAGATCTCAAGCAACCACGAGAGATTATCAGACTCTAAAGCTATTTGCTTCAACACAGGTTCTTTGATATCCATAGGCTTATCGGAAAACTCAGGCTCTGTTGCCTGCTTGAACAGAGACAGCAATGAGTCGAAGCAGCTCTTGCATGAGCTATAAATAGTTTCATTACAGATGTCAGCAGAACGTGCATAGCTCAGGAGACCACTGTTTTCCCTGAGGAGCTTCAGGACTACGGATTTCATGTCACGACGGCTTCTCTCATCGTTACTCTTGAGAACAAGTTCAATTATTTGGCAAAGTGTATCTTTTGGGGGTCTGGAAATTTCAGAGGAGACTCGTTTCAACACCGGAGCTACCCCAATACCCTCACCTTGGAGTCGTAGGACTGATGAGACGACTTTCTCTTCTTCTTCTTCCCCAACCCACGGGACTGCTTCCAAGTATTCTAAACATGAGTGTATACATGAGTTGAAACCAAGTTGTTCTGCAACCTGAAAAATTTTTCCACATATATCAATTCGTGAATTTACCTACATATTAAGAGCCAAGGAAAGAAAAAATAAAGATTTGTATACTGGAGTTTTGTGGGCCTAACTATCATCAGAATAAAGTTAGTGCTAAGAAAAAGGACAATGGAAGAGTTATCACTATGCAGAACCTCCAAATCAGCCTCTTATAGAATTCAGCTTCATTATCAAATTAACAAACGGGGAATACGTGCCTAAAAGCTCCAATTTAATGGATGTAGAAAAGCTATCATTAAGTTACCACCTATAGGAAAGTAAAATTAAACAAGGGAATTACCACAAATGAATGTACATGGAATGTGAAGGGAACAATAGAAGAGAAAATGTATACGGTCAAACAATTTGCTCCAATTATGACCAAGCTATAATGCATGCAAGAAAAGCTATGTATATTCTGCTTTTAAACAACATAGTTACCAGGGAGCAACAATGGTTATCTACTAAGGAAAAAAAAAATTATAAATAGTGGTAAATTAATTTCTCTAAATTATAAAAGTTTCACATGCAACATCCCTATTAAATAGGGAGAAACTCCAGTGAAGGGAATAACATACAATGTGCCTTTTGGATGCTTAGAGGCTCTATTCCCGCCACATAAAGCGTACTTACATGTGATTTGCAATGTACAAAAATGTTTTACATATACTTCAAGAAACATATTAACGAAATTGAAACAATTATCCACACAAAAACAATTATCCACACAAAAACAAAGTATGTAGAATTGATAAGGACATGAGCATCAGCTTTCATGGCCTATATACTTTCGAATTGTATGAGCAAAGATGTATAACATCATGAAAATCAATAATAAATATTATCATCCTATTCATCCAGTTAGGCCACAAGTATCCTTATTTGATTAAGGAGTTATGGAAACTAGTCAATCACGAGTATCCATGCAATAAATACTGACCAAATTAGAATGACAAAGAAAACCTGAACATATTTGTTTAGTTTTCATTTCCCCTCTTTCTGGCACAAATTTTCTTCAAGTAACATGACAGATGCATTGAGCAGAGATTTAGAAGTAAATATAATACTGAACAGCACCTACATTGTTAATGAAAAAGTTATTTCTTAGAGTTCCACTTGCATTACATGAGTTCAGGAACAAGTATATCAATCAAAAAAGGTAAACTTATTAAATTCCCAAAAACAATAGTTGATTTTCATTACATTAGATTCACAGCTTTACCTTCAGAATTCGGAGTACCCGAGAGACGCTTTGCTTGATCAGCCTCTGCCTCATTTCTTTACAATACATCAGTCCCACAGTTTCAACATAGATTTCAACATCTTCGCAATCATCAATCTCGAGACTTGACGAGCCAGACTGTTGTTGTTCGGAGAGTTTATCAGCAAAGAAACTGCAATGCTCCACAAGAACATTCTTGTGAACACTCAACTTCACACAAAACCCCTGCTTCCCAAGCAGAATCACCTTCATATCACTAGTCCCGGGCTCACCAAACTCAATCGCCACCTTCCTCGGCAAGGTTTCGATTTTCGGTTTCGGGGCTCTCTCGGCAGCCACAGATGCACTAAGAGCAGGTGCATCCGTGGTCTCAGGGTTGAGAGGTCGTTGACCATCAGAGATAAGGGCTGACCTTGATGGGGTAAAGGGTGGTTTTCTCTCAGTCATTGGGTTATGTTTTCTCTGGACAGTGGTCTTGTGTGGAGGTGAAGAAGGCTTGGGTTTGTTCAAGGGATTTTGAGTTTTGAGAGTCTTTTGAAACACAACAGGAGATGGGCAACACCAGAAACCTTCTGGGGTTACAGCAATTGGGACATTTCTAATCTTGGTTTGCCCTTGTTCTACCCTAGTAAGCCTAATTTCAGCCATAACTCAACCACCCAAAAAAAAAACTTCCTTTCTTCAAACAAAATACATTTACAAGAAATCCTTGAACATTCTATGAATTGTACAAGAAGCACAAATGTTCAAAAAATAAAAGGTCAAAAACTGATCCTAGGAACCCTAAATTCAGAAAGTAAATACCCTAAACTCTAAACCAAGACTTGCATTTTACAGAATTCCTCATATATATAAAGCCTTTAAATACCAACACCCACATAAAGGAACCAATCTAAAGAGAACATAAACAGCAAAAAGATTAACAAAAAAGAAAAGAATGTAGATTCACAAACCAAAAAAAAAAGTACAATAGAAAATACTCACTACTTAGTACAGATTAACTCTTAAACCAAAAAACCCATAAAGTAAATGAACAAAAAGAATGCAAAAACCTGGCCGACAAGTGAGTAACTTGAGTTTTGCTGAAAACCAACTTCTTCTTTTTATCTCATGATTTCGAAAGGCGTGAGTTGCCCAAAAATGATTGAGTGTGAACTCCGGTGTCAAGCATCAGGGGAACCACTGAACAGAGGAATAATTAGCTCTACTGCCCACTTTAATTCACAAAAGTAAAAATATAAAATATAAAATAAAATAAAAGTTGATAAAATAAAGAAAACCCAAAAGGCTCTGACCCCAAAAAAAAAAAAGAAAAAAAAAAGAAGAAGAAGATTGATGGCTCATTGGTTGTGTTTCTATTTTCCCCAGCTTTTTTTTTTTTTCCCTCTTTTCCTTTTTGTCTGTCTATCTCTCTATGCTTTTGCTTTGCTCTTACTTACAAACTTTCTTTCTTACTCAGCAATTGTTTGCTCTTTTTTTCTCTAATCTTTTTTTTTATTATTATTTTTAATTTTAATTATTTGGACTTTCATTTTCTGTCCTCAGTTTCTTAGCTGTTTTAAATGTCACCGCTGCTTTTGGGGACCGTTGCTGGATTTCCTAGGCCATTAAACTACAAAAACAAAACAAATATGGAAGTATAGTTGGCAAAACTACTAAAATACCCTTGAGCAGTTTTTTATTAATTATTAAATTGGGCCTCTAAGGTGGTGGAGTGGGGAGGGTATTTGAGGAAAGAAGTACAGTTTAGTAGTTTATAACTTTTAGATAAAGTTTTGGAAAGAGGAAAACGATGGGATGACCAAAAGCCAGAGTACATATTTGTTTTGTTGCTTGAGATATTCCAATTTAAGTATTGGAAAACGTTTGTATCCCAAAATTCTAATGTTCTTTTTTTGTATAATTTTTGTTCTAGAGACTTAACATTCCTTTCAAGGTATTAAATTACCCATATAATTGCTGATTTCGAATAAGCATTGAAAGAGAGTGCATTAAATACTTATAATCTGAAGATGGCAATTAAAGATGCTAATAATAATTGTAGTATCAAGCTCAAATTGAGAGAGAATAGGGGGAAAAAAAAAAAAAAAAAAAAACCCCCAACTCATATGGTCGGGCATTCGTAATATAGATGAGATTCCATGATTTATAAATTTTTTTTATGGGATCTTTTCTGGTGAGTCAGTTTATCAATGGAGTTAATTTTTAATCGTTAGATCTGATTAAAACCACATTAAATTAAAAAATATATAAAATAGACAATTATTAATACAAATTTGATAATTAAAAAATAAAAAATTACTAAAAAAAACTCCCAACTCATATGGTGGGGCATTGAGAATATAGATGAGATTACATAATTTATAAAAAAAATTATGAGATCTTCTCTAGTGAGTCAGTTTATTAATGAGATCAATTTTTAATAAAATCATATCAAATTAAAAAAATATAAAATAAATAGTTATTAATACATATATGATAATTAAAAAGTAAAAAAATTACTGATACTTCGTCTTCTCCTGCCTTACCAGAAAAATTCTCATTTTTTTAATAGAAAAATAAATAAATGAAATGAGTTGGTTTACTATGGCAACATCATATCCGAGGAAAGGGTCAACTATACACCAACTTTTCCCTTTTTCCTTTTTTTTTTTTTTTCTCTTTTTCCTTATTATATTCTTTGCGGGAAGTGCTGATTTCATAAAACACAAAATAATGTAGAAGATTATATTAAGATGCATGTTGCATCAAAATCAAGCCAATTTAGAATTCCAACGCATCACCCGACCATTAATTTTTCAAAGCTGTCATAAGGTGGGCTATCTATCCAACTAATTAACCTACTTTATTTGCAAAGCAAATTTCATAGATTTTACAACCTTTTTTCTCCTCATCAGTTCAAGAATTCTATTGTATAGTTTTTAAACATTATTACTTGGAAGACAATCTTAAACAATCAATTCGCATTATATTAATATTAAATTAAAAATAGATAGTAATTTAGTGAAATCTAATAGAGGGCATATCGATTGAATTTTTTTCATATCATACTACAAAATTTATCATAGATATTTTTTTTCCCGTTTTCCCCTCTTTATTACATTACATAGAAACAATAGAACTTGGCCACTAGACGTTTCATCAATGGTCTATTTTTCCTCTTTAAAAAGCCAATTCTCATCTTAATCAAACTTCAGGTGGGTCCATTTCATACCGAATTTAGAGTGAAGGGGCAAGGCAATCATTTAAGATTTACCCTCAAAAAAAAAAAAACAATCAATACCAGCCATCAATCTTTTTTTCTTCTCCTTTTGCACCTTGCTTGCTAATTGGCTTTTTAAAAAGAGTAAAAACAACATCACCACAATCACAGTGGCACATCTTCACACAATAGGAGAGAATTGGGCTATAGTAGGTAGACCAACTATCAAAGTAGTTTTGAAAAATCTTTTGACTTGGCCCCCTTTTGATTTCTTTTGGGTTTTGTGCTTCACTAACTGTGGCTTGGAAGTGCAATAATAGAGGTCACAAATGATGCTAGCTTGGGGGGAGAGATAGCACGTTTTCTTTCCATCAACAAGATCAAAAAGAAATAGGTAATTTGATAAATACTCTTGATGCGTCAAAATTTTTACTATTTATTCTTGATTTATAATCTTTTTAATTAAATAATTACACTAATAAAATATAATAAATGGGTATCTATCAAGAGTAAAAAGTAAATGTTCAAATTTATACACTTTCAGAGTAAATTTTTTATTTTTTAAAAAAGAAAATCCAGTGTGATATGGCCTTGCTGTAAACTTGGCCCACTAATCGAATCTCTTCTCATGTGCTTGGTCTTTATGGCTCCTAAAAAGCATTTCAATTTGCCCTAAATCTCTCATAATCTTAAATCCTTAGACTAACCCACCTGTCATAAGGTAGTTTAGTATGATACTATGATATGTGATTAATAAAAATGTGGAAGATTTCTAAGATTTCTTAGTTGAACAAATGATTATAATGTTTTAATCTCGTATAGGACAAGCTCTTATGGGATTTTGATTGATTGATTGAATAAGTGTGTAACAACTCCAGCTTGGGGTTGTGATAAATTACATATCAAGATGTTAAAAAGCATTTTTTTTTCACAACCAAAACTCTTCACTAATTTGGACTGAATCAGGAAGTTTTAAAAGTCAAAAGTTTCGAAGCCAATTGAGTTAAAGGCCTCATGCTCACTAATCATTATCTAACAGACATAAACTGAACTAACTCATTATTAGAGGCTCTTGTGTGGACATGGACGAATGATTTCCAACAATTGCTACCTCTGGAAATGATGGTAAATTTTGGTTATCTTCTTTCCTACATCAAATAAGAAAGTCTTGCGTACAACGCATGGTGCAATTTTGAACCTTCATATCTATATCGCCTTCTGCCAATTTTACATATATATATATTTTTTCATTTATAATTTTGGAGTAGTTTCAAGGCTCCTAGGCGCACTTATCCCACAACCTTGATCATTTGACATGAAATTTTTTCTAGTTTTCTTCCTTTTTTATTATTATTTTTTTTCTTTTTTTTAATAGAGAACACCATAGAAAAAATGTGAGGTCTCAAACTGAGCTATTACTATTGTTGTTGTTTATTTTTCTTTCTTAATAATAGAGAACACCATAGAAAAAATGTGAGGTCTCAAACTGAGCTCCAGCCAGATATAAAGCAGGTACTGTTGGACTTGTAGAAGCAAAGAGACAAAAACTTTTACGAGTCACAGTCTGAAACAGAGAAGAGAAAAAAAAAAAAAAAAAAAAAAAAAAAACCCTTTTTTCACAGTCTGAAACAGAGAAGAGAAAAAAAAAAAAAAAAAAAAAAAAAAAACCCTGTTCTCTGCTCAGAAGAAGATTTCCAAACACAAATCATGTGAATACAAAATGTGTTTTGACGCAAAGCCGCCAAGATTAGCTTGGCACGCCTTGAAGATGATTCGAAATTTGGTCACTCAGACCCACAAGCCCATGTGCCATGGTCTCGTCTCTGCCTCACTTGCCTAATTCCTTATCTTTGTAGTGTTCACTGAGACAGAGTGGTCCTTTCCTCCCATGCCTCCGACCAACACAGTGAAGCAGAGAAATCAAATAAAAAGGGCTGCTAGAGACTTCAAATTATATGCATATCATGCCGTTTGATGGTCAAATGTGCATGGCATCCGACACTAGCCGTTTAATATTTGTCAGAAAGATATGTCGTCATTTTTCGGCTTCAGGGCATGAGAAATAATGCTACGAATAATCCCAACTCGTGTACTAACCCATTACGTGTCATAATTCATTAGTAAGTATTTAAAAGATTGTCAGGTCAATTAATAATAATAATAAATTACAACTACCAATGAAATTATGACACCTCATAAGTTGGCACACAAATTGGGATTAGAGTTGTTGTCCCTAGCGGGGTGGATACAAGGCATGGAATCAAAGCACCCATGTTCAAAGAATATGATGGAAACCTCATTTACTGAGACTTTTCCTGATAGAATGGAGTCTATTTCATTCAACACATAAGGGTTTCCTCTGCATATCAAAGAAGTACATTGATAAAGGAGAAAACTTGTTACCTACAATGTACAACTTTCGCTACAATTACAAAATATCTAAACATGGTAAACGCATTATTACTTCCATAATTCTGCCAGTGAGAATTGTCTTGAACTGTCACATAACAAAAAACATTGTGATGACCGACAAGTCGAGAGGAAGCGTCATGTTGGGCACTGAGATCTTTTGCAGCAAATTTTGACAGAAATAACTTGAAAACTTTGGCCAAATAACAAGCATTACCATCAGATAACTACAAGGAATGAGGCTAGTAAAAAGAAAATTTCTACAATTCCCTAGTCCAGGATGGTTTCAGCATTGACAAATTCAAACAATTTGCAAACTTATATATAACGGAAAGGAGGGGAGAGAGAGGGATTCCAACCTCGTTTCTTCAAAGAAACCTGTGCCAAGATGACAAAATTCCCTACTGGAATCATGGAATCTACCTCAACCAAAGGTTGCATGCCACGCTTGGAGACGACTGCTAATCAAGATTCCGTTCTCGCGATTAAGCCATGGCTTTTCGCGACATGAGCGAGTGCCTCGAACTTTTATCAGCTGTTCGATGGCAATATGACTAGAAAACTTTGCCATTCAACAACCAAGAGGCATCCCAGCTTCAAAATCTCTTACGTCCACGATAAAGATGCAAGCACCAAATTCTGTACACCATAGAAGGTTTAATATAGGCGGCCACGGCACACAGAAGCTCCACATTGGCACGAATATCCTTCTCCAGGAAGCAGTGCATACCGATAGTGAAACGTTAATTCTTCGCCCAATGATATCTGCTCAAACAAAAGTAAAAATAAAATCAAAAGATGGAACTGGCTACTTCAAAGCACAACTTATGATATGAATTTAACAATGGAAGCGAAGAGCCATTACTCAAGGAGAAAAGATTGCCAGCAAACAATATTGGGGAAGATACATGCCAAACACCCCATGTGTGATACACATGGAAGATCAACCAAGAAGGGAAGTGAGAGATTCTTACATCTCGATTCGCATAGAGACCTATATGTGCAAGATGACAATCCATGCTTTCCACAAGGACTTGGTGACTCACAAGATTTGGCAAGCAACTACAGAAAATGACAGATCTCATGAGTAAATAAACAGGATATTAACAAGCCTAAAAAATCCTAGCCACCTCAAAAAATAAGTATAATCCTGATCAGAAAATTCTGCTAACGAGAAGTATATTTTCTCACCTATGATTAATGAACCGTGAAACATTTCCAAATTCCGTGGCATCAATTGCATAACGGGCCTGACCTTCAATCAATCTGCTCATATCATTGACATGAGAATCAATTTCAAATAAATAGCCGCAGCCTTCTTTTCCATACCTATAATCATCAAAGACCAGTGTAAAAATATAGCATAACTACTAGTGCATTACAATGGACACCAATCAATTTGAAATTTAATGAAACTTGAGTTGCATGGACTGTTTACTGGCATGCATCTATACTGGTAGGAGACCAGAAAGTGCACGGAATAAAACATTACATCAAAGAAATCACACTAACACACCGTATCATAGTCTAGAAAAGGTTTCATTCTTGATGTTAGGAGTCCTTTACTCCAAAAATATGGAACACTAGAAATTTCAATTCATAACAACGTTCAAGACAATGATTACATGAATAGTTACGATGCAGACCTATAAATATAAGATTTTAGTCCCATGATAAAAATAGGGCCATAGGAATAGGAATTACAAGCATATAAATGAAAAATTAAGAATACCTAGAACATGGAAGAAAAATGTACCACTAAAAATAATGAACTACAACTGATAAAAAATTGAAAAAGAAATGTTGTGTCTATCAAGAAAGAAACCGAAACCTCTTGCGCCTTATGTTTGTTTCCTGCTCATCTAAAACCTCGCCTATGTACTCGCACACAAATGTTCCACGCATGATTGCTTCACCAGCCCTGACTGCCCACCCCTGTGAATATGAGTGTGCAATAGTCAAACAGACGCTCCAGAAAACAATAACAACTGAAAAATTTACCTTTTTCTCTGTTTTAAACACTTCCAGCTTCACTCGAACTCCATTCTGCAAAACTCTATTTTGACAGGTTCTTGGGCAGCTACACATGTGATTGCACTCATAAACAAGGTAGCCTTCCTGCAAAAATTTGTGAGAAGTGAGTAGAATTGCTAGTCTTTTTCATAAGGGATGAAAGAATCAATGTTATCAATGATAGTTGAATAAATTACTTACCTCCAAGATAATTCGGCCTTTATCATCGTATGGGAACCTACCACGCATGGATTTCCCATAAATGTCTTTCGCATCATCATAGTCGGTATCAAAGAGGTACACGTGATCACATGTTTCAGGAGAGCATGTTGGATGCTGGCAGGCACACCCCAGCTGGAAACTCTGAAAAATAAAAGGGAGGACACAATTACAAATTTAGATGTCACAGAAAATGCACAAAGTATTGACAGGCACGCACAAAGGTTTTAAAGGAAAAAGGATTTAACGTGTAGGGGTGTGTGTGTGTGTGTGTGTTAAAAAGGATTTAACGTGTAAGGGTGTGTGTGTGTGTGTGTGTGTGTGTGTTAAAAAGGATTTAACGTGTATGGGTGTGTGTGTGTGTGTGTGTGTGTGTGTGTGTGTGTGTGAGAGAGAGAGAGAGGCAGGAGATATGGTGTGGGAAGGCATCATACATAGACAGTCAGATGTCATGGTGATGAATAATGATAACACAACAAAACTAAATACTTTGAATCTGTACATCACTATACTCCCAAATAATCACCTTAAAAGTTCCTTAATTGACCTTTTTTTTTTTTTTTTTTTTGAAGAAACAAGATGAAAAATATTATTATGGGGTGAAAAAGAATTACGACATATAAGGAACATAAAGGTATTGATAGAAATCTGTACATCACTATAATAGAAACGGGTAACAATAATGCAATATAAGGTCAACGTCCAAGCTATATTATCTAAGAACAAAAACCACTATCCGAGGCCAAAAATATAGAAAAAGAAAACAAAAGGCTACCTGTGTATCAAGCGAAAGCATAGGGCCAAGCCTGGGCTTTGTAACATAGGTAAAGGCCTCCCAAGGCATACGTCTACCACCTTGACCATCAGAACTACCCACAAGGAGGGATTCGGAATCTGATAGACCATAATCTGCCACACAGGCTACAGGAACCGGTTCCTGCCCATAACTCAAATCAGCACAAAGTACATGGCCATTTTGCACAGATCTTTGTCTCAAGTCGCCTGAATCTATGATATAATGGCACTCATCCACCTGCCATTTGTCATCCACAGGTTCCGACGAACATGCCGATTTGTGGCCAGGAATACCATTTGTAATAGGCTTCAATGGACACAGCAGGGTTAAATCCTTGAATGCCTTGCATCCCTTAGGACAAATAAACCCATCTTGATGCCAATTCAAGAAAATATTATGCTCACTACAGAGTTTCGCTGCCTTTAGATACAAACGTTCTGGCAATACTCCATATTTTTCCTCTAGGGTGGCTTTAAGGCTAATCTTGCAGCAAGTGGAACAAGCGATGGATAAAATGTCAGAGTTGTTGGGACGAGGTTTTGTTTTCTGCATCTCCGAAAACAAAATTTTTGCTACAGACGAGCATTGAGAGTCCGCCATTGTACCAAGAGTTGCTGCCTCAGAAGTTACATGAGGCGGTACACTTATTCCCCCTGTGCTAAGTGACTTTGATGCCTGAATGCGTTTCTTGATATTATCTGCTGCTCTGTTCCTTATTCTATATGAGGCTGCAGCCAAACTTTTCTTAAATCTAGGACGGCTGAGTCTTCCAGATTTTAACTTATACGCATAATAACGTACCCCCCTCTTTGCGGGTCTAGAGCTGACTAAACTTGGTCCCATATGAGCAGCTTGGTGGTGGCGGCCAAGATCAGGAAGTAAATCAAACTTCAACCCACAGAACCTGCAAACAAATCTCCGGGAACCACTCAACTTCTCAGAGTTATTATTCTCCACAGAAACCGAACTACGCGGCTCAAGCTTCGGTGAAGACTCATCATTAGCTGGCAGAGCCGGTTGAGCTGCTTTTGAAAGCCTGAAATCAACAGGATGAGCTGAGAGCACATGCAACCATAACTCGTCAGTATTCCCAAAATGGCTGCCACAGGGAATACACTGCAGAAGCATGCACTGCTCAACAAATGGAACATGGTGTCTCTCCTGCACATGAGTTTCCAGGACTTTCTTATTGGTAAAAGAATCAAGACAGATGGCACAAGCATAACCTCTAAACAGCCATTGTGCTTCCTTTTTATGGTTTTCCATCCAGTGGTTGCCAAGTTCTTGGTCATCCAAAAACTCCTGTGAACAAATTTTGCACTTAATGGTTTTGTCATCATCCTGGCTACCATCAACCACCTCCGGCAATTGGGCTGGTTCTTCCACGATAGATGAGGAAATCTTCGCATCTTCATCAGCACTGAAGCCCCAAATCCTTCGGAGTCTTTCCTTTTCATTGCATACCAATTTCATGAAGAATTCCCCAACACCAAAATCTTTAGAAGCTTCGGATAGGGCCCACTGAAATTGAACATCCTTCGGTACTGGGTTTCTCAGGGATAATATACTTTTAAAAAGCCTATAGAAAAGCTCGCATGCCTGATGTAACTGAACCTTTTGCTCCTGTGAATGGCAACCCCTCAAAAGATCTATGAAAACTTCTTTTGATACGATCCTACTCTTACCATTCCTCGCACGTTTAAGCCAGCTTGGGAGGTGCTTTTCACAGTATAAAGAGTGACGCTTTGGACTTTCCAGACAAGGGATATTGTTGTCACGCAAGCAAGAACCTATGCAGTGCAAAGCCTCGGTGCTATTACAATCTATAGCCGGAAGCTCAGGCTTCTCAACTAAGTTGCTTCTTCCATGCAAGGCCTCACTGTCCATGACTGAGACGGGGTCCACTTCCAGTGGACTTCCAACATCTCCAAACAACACTAGCTCTTCGCAGTGTGTGTTTTCTAAACTACGACTGCTCTCTTCATAATTTCTCTTGAGTGGATTCTCTGAAAAATTTAAATTTATCATATCAATCTTAGGTCTATGTTTCTTACAAAATGAGGACCCGGGTAAAGACCGATGCTTACATCTTGTACCAAGAACAGTTGTCCCTCCACACATTGGTGTATCATTGGAGACAGTCCCTTCTGCTCTTGTAGAGTTTCCCGTGAAACGAGAGGATAAATGAACACAACAGTAAACATCACCATCGTTAGCCCACCTCACACATTGCCTACCCTTAGATTCAATATAAGCAATGCATTGGCGATTCTTACTCCCAGACTCTAACGCTCTTGCAGAAGTCACTTGATCCATAGGTGTCATCTCAACGTCCTTGTTTTGTCCGGCCATACCATTTTTTGCTTCAAGTACGATTTTGCTCCATTTATCAGCCACATCACCAGGTGAGTCTGTTGGTACGACAGGTAGCTCTTTGAAGTTTTCCCCTTTACAAGGCCTTGATGCTAATGTGTTGGCATTTACAATGTCTCTATTGAAGAATTCAGCGTCGATTTCAAGAGTTCCTGATTGATCAGAACCCCTACTATCTACCTGGAAAGCATGTGGCTCGGCACGACGAACTTCAAGCTTGGGCCTTTTCCTGCTAACTTGGGGGCTTGTGCTCAAGGGGCCATCACTACTTTGCTGTTGCAGCTCTCCACCACCGTTTACGGGATGAGACGTTGAAAACCACTTCATAACTTCATGCTTCCAAGTTTTCCACTCAGAACCCAACGTGGGCTGGACTGGTGCATCCCTCAGAGAGTGGACTTCATTCCACATAATAGAATCAAACAACTCCTGAACCAGAAAAGCTGAAAAGAATTAACCAAAAGCTTGAGAAAAATATACAATATCAAGGTCATTTCAAGCATTACAGGTGTATTCAGAAAGCAGGAGTCAGAGGAAGTTTGTCATAATGATTCCATGTCCACGAGAAAAATATACAGTAACTGAAAGCAGTTGATAATAGTGTGTCAGCTCTCTTGCATCTTTAATTTTTGGTAATCTTGCAAAAATAGATTGCTTGACCATGGATATAAGTAAAGCATTGTGTAATGTATGTCCTTGTGCATATTTAATACCTCTTCCCAAAATGTATTAACAATACATACCTCCTTAAGCATTTCAACAGATTCTGCACTATGTGCATTTTGACACCTCTGAGCCCAATAGCTAAATGAATTCTGCAGCCAGTCGGAATTTATGTAGTGCTTCAATATCATCTGCAAAGAAGAAAAGAAAAAACAGCTTGCTTAACCGCTAACTAAAAAAAAATTTTTTTTTTTTTTTTTAAACAGCATTATATTTGACTTTCAAAAACAGAACCCAAAATGTTTGTATTTCGGCCTAATTTGAAACCTAGCCCTAGAACTATCACCAAGTCTGCAAGTTTACATTCTGCAGCTTCAGAAGCATGCTTCCAAGATCTGGATAACCATTACATCGAGACGCCTCCATAGCAAATTCCTTCCACACCGCCACGTCCCGGGCAGTCTCTATCAAGGCCTAAGCATGATCATGCAAACAAAAGTATAACAATCAAAGCCATAAAAACAAGGATTCCAATCAATAAAAGGAAGCTAAGAGAGAAGACAGCATCAAATCACATACCTCAGAGTGAAATTGGTCGACAATATTTAGCATACCAACAGCCAACTTTTGCATGATAAAACGTCGCGGAACTGTCAGGTCTTTTACCATTTTCAGTCCAATGTTGTGGGTCTTATATGCAATGGGGTGAGGATACTCATTGATAGAACGAACAAGTAGCGTGTCTGCCCAAGAATAATTCCTGGTATGTGGGAAAAATATAACAAAATACTTCTTCCTGTCATGTGTAGGCTTTGCTCTCAAAGTTGATAATGGCCAGTCAGCCCTTGCACATCTTATTCCAGCTTGCCACTTTCCTCTCCACTAATGTTCGCATAGCAGCAAAGTAAGAAAGTGTAAATGAAGTTAGCATACTCTATAATACTCCACTTTTGAAAAAACAACAACAACAACAACAGCAATAATAATAATAATAATAATACAGCAATAAAAACAGAGGGAGTTATCGAAGTCTGTCATCATAAGCCTCAACCAAAATGGAAAACTGAATAACAAAACAAAATATCGACAAGATTACTGAAACAAATAATGTGACTGGAAAAGGATATCTCCTTTGCAAGCTGCACCAAATATGTCATATGCTTTTTGAAGCTGATGTAAAATAACAGTACCTTGACCCACAATGCCACAGATTCATCCCCTTCTAGCCATTTGGGCTCGGAAAAAGATGACTCTCCTTCTCTATTGCTGTTTGGCAATTCACTTTCAATTGAATCCACAATAAGTTGACAATTATCAGAGGCTAGGCTGGTCTCTTTGCAATAACTCTGCTCATCCGCGTCATCATAGTCGTCATCATTTTCATCATCATAATCACGTGAGTCACGACATGACTTTTGACCTGCCACCTGAGTATCATCCGAAGCTCCATGGCAGTGGCTTTCCGAAATTTTCAATTCATCAACCGTCCCTTGAACTCCAACCCGTCTTTCCATTTGAGGCCTTTCCGCATTTTGCAACATACCATCCACTCTAACTTCTGTTAATGTCACTTGTTGCCCATGCTCATCAAGTTTAGATTTTTTATCATAAGCAAGCTCTCTACCCGAACTCTGCTGGGGGCAATCAGATTCTCCACCATACTGAACTCCAGAACAAGGAAGTACTTCCATGATTTTTCAAAATGAAACTAGTAGTCCCATATAAAGTTTGTGGTGTCACTTGACTATCCCCACCACCTTACTGTTCAAACTTAAAAATTGCAATTAGAATGCTTCTTTCAAATTGACAATTGGAGAAACAATAACCATAAGGGAAAAAAAAAAGTCCTTCAAAGGTTGTATTTTTTATAGTTTTTAAGAATTGCACACTTCTTCAATTGAATGGTAAGCATGTTGCTTCATAAAAATCGTATGAAACTAATTTAAATATATATCAACTTTTAACTCAATATGTATCACGCAGAAATGTCCCAGTTATTGTTTATTAGGTTAGATAGCTCAAGTGTCTAGACAACATAAAAAATTTGAGACATCATAATAATATTCAAACTAAAGTTAAAAGAATTATCATATAAAATCAACTTAAATATACCAATATAAAGAGAAACTTATCAGAGCCTAAAATCACTACAAAGGCTTCTAGTCTAGAGGAAAAAGACCATTTTGTAGCAATGCATGCAACAAAAATTTGCATTCATTAAACAATTCAACCTTTCCTCTTCTATTCCAATATCCAAATCTCACCTAGAAAATTTTTAATATACTAACTTTGAACGTAAATCAAGTTGGTAAGACAACAATTCATAAAACAAGGCTCTGACAGACATTTCCTTGAAGGAAACAGGTAATTGGACAAATCAGATGGGCAACCAGTTTATTAGAGCAATTATGTTTTGAAAGTTAAATTACATTTTCAATGTCGTAGAGAGGTTGTTAAAAAGATTATAAGATATGAAAGTCGTTGCATACTTGATCAGTTTGACACATAGAAGTGACGCATTAGACTATAACTCACTACTTTTTTTCATGGCTTTTCTGTATTTTTTTTTTTTATTGAGTTAATTGATTTGCTAAAAAAAATTGCTATTTTCTTTTATTTTCAACAAAACTTCATCTATCCCTCTAAATTGCAACACATCTAACAAATCCAAGTGTTATGAGCATTTATGTACTATACTCTATCTAGTTAATGCAAAATCCAAAGTTAGATGCTTTGTATCTAGAGATATCAAGGAATCATTCACCCTCTTATCAACAATTTCAAGAACATTTTTTAATCAGTATCTTTCAAGTGCATGTTTTCTAGTTTCAACTCATCTAGAATTCTATATCATCCAATGTTCCTAACAATATTCTAAAATAAATAAATAAACAAATAAAGCTCGATAAAAACGCGAATAATGTCAGGAAAAACTTCCAAGTATATTTTTTTTAAAAGAAGAAAATAAAATTAAGTTTGAAAGTCCAACAAAGAATTTAAAGTTAATCAATCACAAGTTCAATAGAATATCAAAACTCTAAAGGGAAATGCATTGAAGTTCTTTCTCTTATGTGCACAAGTTGTCTAAAACTTTTTGTAAGCTATTAGAAGGCCCTCTATAACACTACTAGAAGTTCAGCAAAAAAACACTACTAGAAGTTCTAAGGTTTGACTAGGAGTTGAAGAAAAAATTTTCCCTTCTTCCTGTAGGTGGCCACCTTTTACAAGAGGTGTGCACTTGATAATCACAAAATTTTCCTTCGATCAAATAATAATAAACTAGCAATTATCTAGTTAATTATCCCACATTTGAATTTAATAACCATCTTTTGCAAAAAATAAAAATAAAAATAAAATCATTCCTATTCGAATTAGAAATGATAATTATCTCATATAAAGATAATTATTACATCTTAATACGATCTAAACCAAACTTGAAATAATGATTATCACAAACTTTAAAAAATCACTAATTACACAAGCATAATTTGTTAAATTATTTTGTCTTTTTATAGGAGAACTCTTTTCATTGATGAACATCAACCAAAAAGTAAAGAGGATGAGAGATCCTCAAAAGCAGAAAGCAGAAAGCAAAAACAAACAATATAATCTTCCAGATGAATTCAAACTCTTAATTAATAATTATCACATATCACAATAATTCATTAATTATCCCGAAATCTTAAGGAGAATCCGCCCACAGACCCTGCTCGGACTGTCCGCGCCCAATCCTTTCCTGGGACCTAAGGCAGCATTGGCGAAATTCAAATTCCCCTACAAGACTCTGGTGCAAATTTTTTTTTTTTTTTTCCTTGAAATGGACTGTGGTGAAATTTTGTAACCGATATGCTGAAAATTATTCCGATTCATTTATTTGAATTTTGTGAGATAACAAGGGAACCAAAATAGGAAAGCATTTGCATCACAGTCTATGAGAAAAATTAGCAGCAAATGCAAATTTTTTTTTCCTATTTTGTCCAATGTACCTTAGTTCCTAAGTCCTAACATGGGTATTTGTTATATTAAAAAATAAAAATAAAAATAAAAATAAAAAACTTTGGAGTTTTTCATACTGGTTACACTTCACAGTTCACGCCACAAAATACCCCAACCAATAAGCAACCATGTCAGAGCTCTATCACATTCCAATTATAACCACCAAGTTCAGTAAGTGAAACTAAAAGGATTAGGATCCAAATCCCAGGAACAAAACCCTAATTCACCTAGACCACATTAAAGAAAATTCGTCAAAGCCCTTTATTACCAACATTAATTGCCAACACAAACATGAAAGAAAAACCCTAGCCCAAAAATCTGCAGTTCAGTGCAGATCGTGAACATGCCTAGAGATAAACTTATGTTCTTTTTTTTAATCCAATATCATAAATCTACACACCAATTAAAAAAATAAATGCCCATAAAAATATATATAAAAAGAAAAAACAAAAATCCCCTAATAAAAGTGGAGCAATTAGAAGCCAGAACCGAAGAGGGTTAGTATAATAGTTCACCAAGCATGTTATTGTTTTTGCCCCCTTTCTTTAATTTTATGGGTGTTAATAATACACAGAGAGTGAGCTAGGTCAGCAAAAAGAAAAAAATTAAAAATTAAAAAAAAAAGAACGAAATTGACTGCAAATGAGAAAAACAAAATTGAAAAAGAGAAAAAAAAAATGTGACATACATATAGATATAGGAGTGTCTCTGCCAAGTTACAGAGAGAGACCAAAAATGAGACAGATAAGATAAAATGGTGGTGGTGGTGGTAATGTAATGTACCTTTAAAGGAGGAGGGAAGTTATGCACCGAGAATCACCTTTTTCCATTAGGGTAAACAAGTTTTTGGTTGTTTGGTAGATACGGGTTTTGTTAAATGGTACCTTTTTTTTTTTTTTTTTGCTGGGGTTCTCTCAATTTTATGTCTCGCACTCTCAAATCTTCCCTAGTCACTAACAGATGTGTGTGATATACATATATATATATATATAATATATGTCTATGTGTCTATATATATATATAACCTTATGTTGGGGTGGGTGTGTATTTTGTGACCAGGGCAGGTCCAAAATGGAACAAAATGAAAGGCACACCCAAAAGAAGGTGGAAATTAGATGAAATGGAACAAAGGAAGACCGTGTGGGGATAACTGGGGGTACAAAAATGGTTTTGTGGGGGATTTTGACCTAATAATAATAATCAATAATTTAAAAAAAAAAAGAAAAAAAAATTTGAGGATTTAATTTTTTTTAAAGGTTATGAAAGAAAGAGGGACTGGGTTGTGGAAGATTTTTGGTGGGTTATGGCTTTACGGGGTTTTATATCTAACCTTCTGTATCTATCTATCTATCTATCTATACACTAGAAAGGAAGGTTGTTTTTTATATATGTATATATAGAGAGAGAGAAGTGCGATTCTATTGGTTTGTTCGCGTAACGTGGCTCTATTTTGTAGTGACCAAAATCAAAGATTGAAATTTTGATAATCGTTCTATTTTTTGTGGGGGGTGGTTTTTTCTCTCTAGTCTCTGCTAAAACATGACTTATCTACCCAGAAGAAAGGGGTTTTTTTTTTTTTTTTTTTTTTTTTTTTTTTTTTTTTTTTTTGGGGTAGGTTTTGGGCAGATGAATTTTGTTGGTTCCCAAGATTTTCACATCGAGATGCGAATTGGGTATTGCTAACAACGACATTTCTTTAGGCTTTAGGTTGTATCCCACCGAAAGTGCAATTGAGCGGGGGCATTTTCGTCATTTTACTCACCTAAATCTTGCGGCTGTTTGGTCACGGTGACTGGCTCTTCCTTTTGCTAGGTTATATATATTATCCGATTATGTGCATTTCTGACTTTTTATCAAAAACAAAAAGGTAAATCTTTCTTTATTAATTCTGTTCAGTATTAAGAAAACAAAAGAGATTAATAAATGTATTATGGAGGATAGAAAATATCATGGAAAACGAAAGAAGGGCAATTTGTTTTTATTTTTTATTTTTGTTTTGGTGTTGAAGAAGATTCATTTGCTCACGAAAGAAAGGGGAAAAAATTAAAGGGTATTGTTTCTTTCTTACGTTGTTTGGTCGATTGTCAAATAAAGGAAAGGTATTATATTTATACTTGTCTAATTGTCATTTTCTTCATTGTGTATACTTTTCTTTTCTTTTATTTACTTATATTTGGTTGTTGGGGTTGTGCAGTAAATTAGCTTGCAGCTTGCTAAAGAAACCATTTTTTTATTAAAGCTAAAATACAAATTTATCTATGATTTTTTTATAACTGTGTGAAAAATATTGCTTTCTGCTTTACTTCAAAAAAACAAATAAAAATTTTCCAAAAATGAATACAGTGTTGACTTTCAAATGACAAAACTACACCCTAAAAAAAAAAAAGCCAAAACTACACGTCCTTTATTTCTTTTTCAAAAAAATTTTGATGACACTATGAACGACATATAGTTTATAGGTTTGAAGTAATGGGTGCATTTAGAATTGTTTTCGAAAACGTTTCCACACGTTTTTTGAGGCACGAAAATGAAAACGATTTACAAATCGTATTTGTTTAATAAAAATTTTAAAAACAGAAACGAAAATAAAAAACAATGAGAATGATTTTTGTGAAGAAAGTAGAAAAAGATTAAAAATTATTTTTCCTTTTCCGTTTTCATTTTCTAGTACTTATTAACAAAGTTATATTAAATAATTAATTATTAATTACTAATTATATTATATATTAATTAATAATTAATAAATAGATATACTTAATAACTAATAAATAGATAGTAATTACTTTAAAAATTAAGTATATAACATATTAACAATAAAATGAGTAATAATAGGTTGTTAAATAAATAATTAATAATTAATATATCAATCATATGTTATGTTAATTATAATCCATTAATTAGTAAATAGTTGGTAAATAAAAAATAAATAGTAATTACTTAATTAATAATTAATATTAAATTATAATTATCAATATGTAATATACTAATCAATAATACTTAATAATTGATAATTAGTAATTAATCATTATAAAAAGAATAATTACTAAAAGTTGGTCATGTGATACATCAAATAATAGATTATTAAATAAACATTAGTAATTAATTAACTAGTTATTTAATTATATAACTAAAAGTTAATAATTTAAGTAGTAAACGGAATATTCATAAATTATGTATAGACTAATTAATTACTTATAATCTAATAAACATGAGTACATTACTAAGTTAGTAATTACTTATAATTTAATTACTAATGTATTCATTAACGATAATTTATCCATTTTTATTATATTATTAATATATTAATTTTTATTTGCTAAATAATTATCAATTATAAATTACTTAATATATTAATTTAAGATTCTTAATTACGTGTACTCAAAATAAATATAAATTTAACTAAATATAATTTTATTTTTTTATCATATTCAAACTAATATCTTAAAAGACTAAACCTAATTTCAAAATCTCTTTTAAAATAATTTTTAAAATAATTTAATTTTTATTTTTGTATTGAAAATAAAATTATTTTAAAAATAATACGGCCCAGTGCTTCTTTGCTGACCCCAAGGCCCAATATGTCCTCGGGTTGCGTTAAAGCCGAAGGTACTGATATCATTTGTTTGGGCCCCACTTTGGCACAACAACAACATGACGTGTTACGTCAAATTCGATTTCAATTTTTACCTTTAATTATAGTAAAAAAAATAAATATACTATTTTTTAAAAATTTTTAACTGTAAAAATTTAAATTAATGAAATAAATAATATTTATATATCATTTTTAATCCTAACACGTAGCATAATTACTAAAGAGTTTTTTTTTCTTTAATCTGTCAGATGACGTAGGAATTAGGAAAATATCGTAGGAATTAGGAAAATAAAAAAATAAACAAACAAACAAAAAACTATGCAATCAACCTCTAACCATGAAAGATGGAGATTCAAAGTCGAATAAATTTAAGCTTTTGTTTATTTTATTAGTTTGAATCACAAATTAAATTTTTATTATAGTATTTTTTTATAAAAATTTAAATTTAATTTTTTATATTATAATTTTTTTATATAAATTTATTTTTTAATTTGAGTTAAAAACTCAAATATATTATTAGATGTCGTCATTCAAAGACTTATGGGCTGTGCTTTTGCTTTTCGTTTATTAATTCCCCAGCATTTTTTAGTGTGTTTTTTTCCTTGTCATTTTGCTTTGCATTTGTTTTCCTTTGGGTTAATGAGATAAACGTCTATTTATTATGATTATTTTAAAAACAATCTACAATTTTATTTTATTATAAAACTATCTAAAATCGTGTACCTAATAGTATTATCACTCTTAATAATGAGAGTATAAAAATTGTAACTTTAGGATAATAAAATAAGATCTAAAGCTCAAAAAGACCGGTAATGTTTGATGATATTGTGATCTTAATAATGGGAGTATAAAAATTCCAACTTTATAATAGTAAAATAAGATCTAAAACTCAAAATGGTTGTTCTATTCACATACCTCATTTTACTCTTCACACTTCTTTTAAATTAAAAAGTTATTAAAAAAACTGCTACATAAAATGACCAAAAAGGATTATAGATATAATAATCTCGTTAACTTTTATTACTAAAAAAACTGCTAGAGTTTTTTTTCTTTTTACATATCTTATATGTTATATTCGTAAATTATAAACTATTGCTATTTTAATATCTATAAGATAACTTTAGTTTTCACTTTTCAATAAATATTCCAAAATATTGCATGGAGATATATTAAATTTTCTTTGTTTTTTATTGTTTGATAATGTTCTTTTGTTATTTCTAGTTTATATTTTTTTCTAATCATTTTGCTTTTTTTTAAGGCGGGTAATTTTATATATTTTTTTATAAAGTTTGATTGTTTTTTTTATTTTTCCTTTTGTTTTTTTTCTCTCTTTTTTTTTAAAAAAAAAAGGAAATTGCATTCAATCAAAAACTAAGAAACATACAACCCGATACAATGCTAATGACCCATCGGAGGAACAGACATACACCTAAGGCCCTAAAACGTGAGAACCTCAGCACACTAATAACGAGCGTACTTAATGCTCTAATTGAAAAAACCCCTCCCATCGAGATAGAAATCTGAGCACTGTAGGGATAAATCACCAACCCCGTAAAGAGAGGACATCAGCAACACAGCATAGAAAAAATTCTAGCCGGACTAAGAAGTCCACACAATTGGGAAGCATAGAAATGACCTTAAGCCGATCACTGAAAACTAGCACCAAACAACAAAATAAAAGATGGTCGAGTGGAGAAACCACCGCCCTTTTTACAAACACATAAACTTTAATAGAAAAACTAGAGAAAATCGAAGAGATCAAACGAACAAGAACGAGTCCCTCAACGCCCAAAATCTGAGAAGAACGGTTGAAACGGTGCTAGAAAAAGCCTCCCAAAATGGCACCAAAAGCACTTAAAACTCTGTGGCACGTAGGGCACACACGCCTCTGCCGATTGGCGGTGATTGACACACGCGCCGTAGCACCTTCTTTGCCTCCCTCCCGCGATCCAGTTCTTGGGGTTTCAATGAGATTCCGCGGCGAACGCATCCTAGATCTACGATAAAAGATTGGCGGCCTCTTCCCTTTAAACGGCTCCATTCTGGTGGCTTCTCACACTTCCGTCGGCATGAACTCATCTCCGATGACCACTACAATTTCCTCATCGAGATTTGGAGGTCGACAGCCCGGTAAAAAGCTAAACCACCGACCCCAAAACACAAACTCTTGTGAAACTCTCAGACCCTCTCTCACTAACTTTCTCACTCTAGGTTTTTTTCACTATTAGGAGACAATTTTGTTAGTTTCACTACTTTTCTCTCGTTTTGCTAATTACAACTTGTGCTCATGTGCTCCTTTTACTGCACTTTCTTTGCCATTTTGTCATTTCTGATCATATGTTAATAGATGTTTTGTATAACATTGTATCTGTTATCTTTTTTTTTTTCATTTACTTTCTTGCCTTATTTTAAAGTTGTTTTGTTTTATCTTCTTTCTATCAAATTTTTGTAACTCTATTCCTCACTAATGATATCCCCTATTGCCTTATTGAACTTAAAAAAAAAAAAATTCACACACAGGCTTCAAAAAGAAATAAAGATATATAAATGATAATATAATTAATATAATACTCGGAGTAAAAAGAAAATAAATTGATCAATAACTAATTAATTTTATAAAAATAGTGTGGGTAATTTGGAAATAATAGGAGTGTTTGAAAAGAAAATTTAATCATTTGAAAATTATATAGGATGTGTACTTAGAAAAGGGGGGTGTAAAGTAAAGAGATGTGTGTGAATAGAACCACTAAACTTAAAAAACATCGGTAATGTTTGTTGGACGGTATTTTAAAAAGGATTAAAGGCACAATAACTTCGGAGTCCAAAACCCTCATGAGCCCAAACTCTCTCAATCCCAATCTCTTCTGAGTGCAAGCTTGCCTAAGCCTAATCTCTCTAGAGCCTAAGCTCGCCTAAGCCTATTCTCTCTCAAGCCCAATCTCACCTGAGCCCAATCTCTCCCGAGCCCAAGCTCGCCCGAGTTGAAAGTTTAAAAGTCGCATGATGTCATCAAGTGAAGTAACTTACGTCAATTGAAGACATTAAATGATTGGAGA